TCAAGGAGCCTTTGTGCACCCCGATGCCTGGCCCTGGCAGCAGCAGTCCCAGCCCTGGGGAGGGCAGGCTGCAGTACCCACCCGGGCTGGGGGCTGGGGCAGGTCCTTCCCCCGGGCTGGGGCATGCTTAGGCTGAGGCGCTCCCTCTCACGGCCACGGGGCATCTCCCACTGCCTTGGGCACCTACTGCCCTGCCCTGGGTGAGGGCTGACCCAGGTGGGTTTCCTGGGGCTGGCAGCCACACAAGGTGCTGAGCAGGGGCCAGCCCTGCGCTGTTAGGATGGGATTTGGGATGAGCTGGTGGAGCGGGAGCGGGCAGAGGGGCACAGAGCTGCCTGCCTGCGGGTGGGGGGTAGAGAGACTCAATCTCAGGCCAGAGCTGTGTGTGCACATGTATGAGCATGTGCGCATCTGCGTGTGCATCAAGAGGAACGTGCATTTGAGTGTCTGTGTGAGCACTGTGCACGCTTACACATCTGTGTGTGTGTGGGTGGCGTGCGGTGAAGGACCAAGCTGTTCCAAGCTGGCTGGCTACGTCAAGGAGCAACCTGAGCTACCAAGGGCATCCCCCCAGCCGCCTGCTGAGTGTGGCCCAGCAGCAGGCGAGGAGGTGGCTGCAGGTGCCAGCGCAACAGCGGTACCTGCCCTGCTCCCTCTCTTTCCCTGGCCCCGATCGGCTCACTGCCGCCAGGCACAGTGCAGATGCAGGAGCCCTCGGCATGGGCACCCATCAGTACGTGAGCAGCGGCCCTGACATGGCCCAGCTGAGCGGTGCTGGGCAGGACACCCTGGCTGGAGGTGAGGTGGGTGGAGGGACCGGGGCACTTGGTCCCCTGAGGGCTCTGGCATTGGGCTGGGAGGGTCTCCATCCCTGTGCAGGACCACAAGGGATGCTCTGGGGTGGAGGATGGATGGGCAGCAGGAATGGCCTGGGGTAGGTGGTGGGTTGGGGTCAGCTGAGACTGTCTCCCTCTGCCCTGCTTGGTGCCAAGGACCCCTGTAGCTCTATGGGGTGTGTGGGGGCTCTGGGGGCTGCTGGGGGCTCTGAAGGAGCAGTGGGTATGCAGAGAGCAGCTGAAGATGGGAACGCAGTGAGCTGGGGTAGGGGCTGTGGTGCAGGCACCATGGCCCTGGGCAGGGAGCAGGGCTCCAGGGTATGGGACCTCCTATGCTGAGCACGACCTGTCCCCCCCGGAGCCCTCACCCCAGGGCCCCCTCTGGGCAGGCTGCCACTGCCTGTCTGCCTATTGCAGCAGGAAGGGGCCATCCGGACCCAGACCCTGCAGTGGGGAACGCCAGCGTGGAGCCCCCCAGCAGCCTGCCCCCCCCCGAGCTGGGCTGTGCCTGGAGTCCCCAGGCTGAGGGCAGTGAGGAGCCCCTGCAGCTGCCCACCTTCTCCCCCGCCGCTCAGGCCCGTGTGGCTGTCACCTTCGCCCTCTTCGTCCTCTCTGCCGGCTGCAACCTGGCGGTTCTGCGGGCAGCCGGGGGCCGGCGGGGCGGCCAGCGGTCCCACATCCGCCTGCTGCTGCTGCACCTGGCTGCTGCCGACCTGCTGGTGACGGTGGCGGTGATGCCGCTGGACGCCATCTGGAACATCACGTTGCAGTGGCGGGCAGGCGACCTGGCCTGCCGCCTCCTCATGTACCTCCGGCTGCTGGCCATGTACGCCTCTGCCTTCGTCACTGTCGTCATCAGCCTGGACCGGCAGGCTGCCATCCTGCACCCGCTGGCCATCGCCCGCGCCCGGAGGAGGAACCGCATCATGCTCTATGCTGCCTGGCTCCTCAGTGCAGGGCTCTCGGTGCCGCAGGTACCCGTCCCCAGGGCTCCTCTTCAGCCCCATGCCCCGTGGCAGATGCCTACCCAGCCCCTGTGCCGGCTCCCAGGGTGCCTGGCTGCGCCGGCTGGGGTTGCTCCCAGGGCTGGTGCTGCCACGAGCCCTGTGGGATGGGGATGGAGAGGGCTTGGAGGAGAGGCAGCCCAGCCGGGCAGCAAAAGAGGGACTGTGGCAGCGTGCCCCCTGCACCCAGCTCTGCCCCCCTCCCCGCTGTGCACCCTAGCCCCCTGGGAGCGGGGAGCGGAGCTGGCGCAGGGGCAACTGCGGCTCCTGCTCCCGCTGGCAGGGTCTGACCCTGTGGCTCCAGTGGTCCCTGGCTCGGGACTCTGGTGCCCTGCCTTCGGGAGGCGCAGAGCCCCCGTCACCCTGCGGCCCCAGCGAAGAGGCCACCATCCCACCTCTGCTCTGTCTCCAGCTGTTCCTCTTCCACACGGTCACCCTCCGCTCCCCGCACAACTTCACCCAGTGCACCACGCGGGGCAGCTTCCCCCAGCCCTGGCACGAGACCCTCTACAACATGCTTGGCTTCACCTGCCTCTTCCTGCTGCCGCTGCTCATCATGATCTGCTGCTACGCACGCATCCTCCTGGAGATCTCCCGGCGCATGGGCTCCAGCCTTTGTGAGTGCCTGGGCACCAGCCTGCCATGTCCCTGTGCCCAGGGGGCTTTGCAGGGACCCCGGGGTGAAGAGAGAAGGGGGGAAGCCTGGCTGGGGCTGTGTGGGGCACCCCCAGCCCTCCTGCAGAGCATGGGGTTCCTGTCCCAGCCAGGCCACTAAGCATCCCCCACTCATGGGCCATGCCCCCCCCGCCCAGTCTCATCCCAGGACGTGTCGCTGCGGTGCTCCAGGAACAACATCCCGCGGGCACGGCTGCGCATGCTGAAGATGAGCCTGGTCATCGTCTCCTCCTTCATCCTCTGCTGGACCCCCTACTACCTGCTGGGGCTGTGGTACTGGTTCTGCCCACGGGTCATGGAGAAGAGGGTCTCGCCGGCCCTCACCCACATCCTCTTCATCTTTGGCCTCTTCAATGCATGCCTGGACCCCATCACCTATGGGCTCTTCACCATCCCCTTCCAGAGGCGCTGGGGCTGCCCCTGCAGGCATGGCACTGAGCCCCAGCCGCCCTCCCCAGTCACCGGCTCCTTCCACTGCTCGGGCTCCTCCCTGCCACCCAAGCGGGGTGTCCCAGGGGGGCAGGAGCAGCTGATGCCCGCTGGGCTGGGGCTGCCCACTGGGGCTGGCTCCTGCCAGAGCAGCTCCCTGTGAGCCAGGCATGGCCCCGCGCCCAGAGGGACATCCTGGGGTGCTCAGCAGGCATCGAGGCTGTGGGCAGGAGGGGACTGGGAATGGGACAGTGAGGGCAGGACAGGTCTGGCAGGGACAGGGTTGCTGCCGCTCTCTTCTGGCACCCCAAAGTGCCTCTGTGGGTGGCAGGGCTGGCGTGGGTCACCCTGGTCCCCTCTCCCCTCTCTGCACCTGCCAAGCTCTGCACAGCCACTGGAGCAGAGCCCAGCACCACAATAAAGTGTCCCATGGCCACATCCTCTCCTGCCCGTGTCCCCAGCTGTGAGCTGGGTTGGGGTCTCCAGAGCCAGCGCTGCTGGGGACAGGCTGGGCAGGAGCCCCAACCTGCTGGCTCTGGGGGGTGGCTGGTCTGGAGCCAGTCCTGGCTGCTCCTGCCCCTGCCATGGGGGGCTGCCAGGGTCCCCAGGGATGGGCAGATCCAAGGGCATCCTGCGCATTGGCCAGGTCTGGGTGCTGCTCTCTCTGCAGTGGCTGCTGGGGCTGTTTGTCCCCCATGGGGCTCCTAGTCCCAGTGGGCCACGGGCTGGTCCACACCAGTGGCACTGAGCTGGCAGCAGTCCCAGGGCGTCACGCTGCCTGCAGCAGCCTTGTTCCGCTCAAAACGGGAGCTCTTGGCTCCTGCCGAAGGTCGTTGCGAGGCACGGGGGCCCAGCTGCTGTTGGCTGTGCACAGCAACTGCCCCAAGGCCAGTGCTGCCGCAGGAGCTGGTGCAGCTGGCGGGGCCGGGAGAGGCTGGGGAGGTGGGGAGCAGCCCCAGGTCTTGAGCAGGAGCTGTAGGTGCCTGGGCCCTTTGCCTCCCCCTGCACCCCGGAGCAGCCAGTCTGAGCCCTCCCCACGGCACGAGGAGCAATGCTGGAGGTGAGGGATGGCTTATGTGAACAGCTCTGGGATCCCCCCAGCCTTGGGGTAGGGTTACTGGCTGAGCTAGGGTTTGCTGAAGCCACAACTGAAGCAAGAGGCCAACGCCAGACAGCGTCTGCCTGGGGCTCCCCACTTTGCTGCCATGGGTCACTGGGCTCCCTCGCCCACTTTGGTCCCTGCTGCCAGGGAGGACCCAGACCTAGGGATTTGCCCATAGACCTGGGGAAGCCCCCACTGATGATGCGGCCTCATGCATTAGCTGGCCACGTCAGCGAGGGGACTGCTGGGAGAGCTGCTCCTGCTAAGGGGGTCTCCCTGGCTCTGGCATCTGGTCCTGTGCCAGAAGCACGCTCAGCCGGTGTGTGGCAGGGCTGCAGGCAGGCAGGAGGGGAGGGCTGCGGTAACTGGCTGCACCAAAATGTTTCTTCTTAGACAGGAGTCTGCCGAGGGCCAGGGGGGAGACTGGCATCTTCCCGGCAGGTGCCGAGCCCTTCCCTGTAGTGCTGGCAGGGGGTGAGTGCCCGACGAGGCAGGAACAGGCAGGGCCTCCTGCAGGCAGGGACAGCCAGCTCAGCAGTGGCCATACCTGGCTGTCCATCCTGGGAGCAGTGCCCAATAACGGCAGCGCGAACCACGGTCGCAGGGGTTTATTACGAAGTGGCAAAGTAAAACGCCAGTGGTGCTGCTCCGGCTCCCAAGGAGCGATCCCGTGCCCGCTCGAGGGCTGGCAGTGGTGGCTGGCGCACTGGTCTCCCCAGGGCTCTTGCACAGGGTGGTCTCCCAAGGGGTCTTGTGGGGGGTCTCTGTTTTGTGGGGGCTCCAGGGAACAGGGCTGCAGTCCCAGGGGCGTGGGGGTTCCTTGCTGCTGCTGCAGTGGGGATGGGGTTTCCTTGGCACAGGTGAGGCAGAGCTGTGCCTGCTCCTGCTGTCTGCTGGGCACAGTGGAATGCGTAGGGTGGCCAAGTGGACTCGTGCAAGTATGAAAATACCATCTTGTATGGGGCATGCTGCTTGCTTTCACGGCACAGGAGGGCCTGGGAAATGCTTCACTGTGAGGATGGGGGCTTGCAAAGCAATGGAAACCACCAAGCCAAAAGGCCCTGCTGAAACCTTGCCTCTGTTTTTGAGCCAGTGGCTCCTGGGACGCTGCTGCCGACTTTGGCCCTGGCCTAGGGAAAAAAGGGGAGCTGTGCTCACCGCTCCTCTGCCTGCAGGCACAGAGCTTGCAGCCTGCAGGGCAGCTCTGCTCCGGGCTAACAGCACTCAGCTGGGGGCAGGAGTGCTCGGAAGGTGGGCGCTGGGTGGGTTGGTGTTGTCCTATCCCTTCGCTGGCCTGGGCAGAGCTCCCTGTCCCACTGGGTGTGCGTGGGCAGCGTGTGGCCTTGCTGGATGCCAGGCTGCACCTTGCAGTCACATCGGGCTCTGAAGGTGCCTCAGGCGTCGGACAAGGGACCAGAGTGTTGATGCCAAACCCCAGCGCACCCAACCGCTTCCCTGGTGGAGCTGGTGAGTGGGGACAGACTGGCTGGGCGAGGGGACAGGGCCGCAGGGCAGGCGAAAGCAAAGCGGGAGGTGATGCTGGGGGGATTGGCTGGGGGTTGCCCATGCCTGGGTGACCATTTTCCACCTGGCTCAGCAGTGTCACATCATCCCCTGCTCCCCCCCAGCCACCTCCCCACTGCAGCACCTTGTGAAAAACAGAGGTAAACCGTGACCCAGGATAATGCTGCCTGCCCGCTCCCCCCGCGCAGTTTGGGCACAGAACGGCTGCGGCTCTAGGTGCTGGTCCCGCTGCTGCCGGGTCTCTTCTCGGTGAAGAAGCTTTTGAGCAGCATCACTTGCCCAATGCTGACCACAAAGAGGATGAGGGTTTCCCCAACCGACCAGTATGAGACCCGGCCGTTGAGGTCTTCGGCTCTGCTCCGGTCCTGTGCTTCCCGCAGGCGGTAGTGAGTCTGGGAGTCGATCACTGTGTTCAGAGCCTCGTGGATGGTGACACAGGCGGACTCCATCTAGGGAGACAAGCACGGTCCATTGCTCCTGACATGGCACAGCGCAGGCCTGGCACTTGCGGCCGAGGGAGCTGAGGATGGTGCTGGGGCACCCGAGAGCAGGACAGCAGCGCCCTGTGCCGCTGGGTCTCTACCAGCCCCAACCCGAGAGCGGTTCTGCTCGAAGGAGCAATGCTGGAGACTGTCCGGCGGAGGGAGCCTGCTGTGAGCACCAGGGCACAACTGAGAGCCCTGCCAAGGTGCTGGGGGCCAAGAGCAGGGTCTGGGTCCCAGCCCAGGGTGCAGCCATCCCTGTGGGCTCACGCCAAGGGATGGAAAAGCCTTGCTGCACTTCCCTTGTGCGGGATGGAAACTGGGTGCTCAGGCCAGGGGAGGTTCAGACCCAGAGCAGCCCTCCCCGTCCCTCTCTGCCCGTGCCACTGGGAGGAGGAAGTGGCCTGCATGTGGCAGGGCGGTTGGCTGGTGGTTGGCACTTCTGCATTCGGCAGAGGGAGAAGGGGATGAGCCCCCAACTGCCGTCCTGTGGGGCCGTTTGGCCGCAAGCGGGAGCTGTGGCAGGACCTTCCTCCCGCGGCAGCGTTGCAGTGACCCACCTGTGTCAGGGCGGTGACGCGGTTGCTCATGTCGGGCAGGATCGGTGGCTCGTCGCCCACCTGGAAGTCGAAGTAGACGGTTTTGTGGGAGAAGGTGGAGAACTCATTGCTGAAGCAGAAGGTGTAGACGCCCTTGACTTCGGTACGGTGCGGGAAGCTGTCGTACTGCTTCTTGGTCTCCTTGTAGATCGTCCTGCCGTTGGGGTCCTCCACGTAGCAGTCCACGTCGTAGTGTCCGCCGGTGATCACCTGCGCAAGGAGACGCAGGCAGCACCTGCCGAACCACATGCCGAGAGCCTGCCGCCCTGCCGGGAGCAGCTCTGCCCGGCCCCACGCTGGCGTGCACAGCCGTGCCCACGGCTGACCGCCACGGGACAGGGGCCCAGGCTGGGGGACCCCCGGGGAAGCTGTGCCCCACGGTGCCAGCAGCTCCGGTGGGGCGCCCAGAGCTCAGGTGGGGTGCCCGGACAGGGGGACGGCCCCGATGGCCCGGGTCAGGGGTTCCCGTGGCCGCTGTGGGCACGTCCCGGTACCGGCTCCGAGGAGGGCACTGCCGGGCCCGGGGCCAGGGCTGGGACCGTCTCCCGGTGCAGTCCGGGGGGGAGCCGAGGGGGTGCGGGGAAGAGGCGCAGCCGCAGGGGCCGGGGGGAGGGGCAGGGGGCGATGGGCACAAGCAGGGGCAGGGCTGCGGGCAGGGCAGTACCTGGTAGTCCAGCGTGAACTTGAGGCCGCGCTCCAGCTCCTGGTGGAAGCACTGCTTGGCGCTGTCGGGCAGCTCGAAGGTCAGCTCGGTGCCGCCGGCCCGCAGCGCGCACAGCAGCACGGCCAGCACCCGCATCCCGGCCCGCATCCCGGCCCGCATCCCGGCCCGCATCCCACTG